TAAGTTTTGGTTAAACATGAACAATTAACAGCTACGCGAACGAACCTAATAGTTGCGATCCCGTACGAGTTCGGACTAGTCAGAATCAGTCAGATTTTACTGGAAATCGATCCCGTACTCGGTTCTCTGACTATTGAGAGGACAAAAAAGAGAGTAAATACGGTTCTCTCTCTGTCATAAGTTACCAGTTTTAGTCCGAGAATTTTTTGCTGGTAAATTCGGGTAAATGTGTCAAACGATCAGCTGTAGTATGTTTGGCAACCAAATTGTTAACAAGAGAAAAGTGCACTCTGCTAATTCATGTTAAAAGGTATTTAATTACTTGTTTAAGTGGATTCTAATGAATTAGAAAGTATTTTTGGTTATTTACATGTGTGAGCTGAGTGTGTTTACATACAAAATAAGCAAAAATTGACAACCAAAATTTGGAGGTTATGTTGAAGTTGACAGAAGTTACCATTTTTTACTAGAAAGCGATCTCGTACTTTTCAATGTTACTCTCTCGCTCTGAGCGAATTTTTATTTTTTGATAGTTTTACTAGTCCGAGTCCGAGGAATACGGGATTGCACCAAAAGAAGAGAGTATTCAGCTAAGTAAATCGTGCAGATTTCTTCGAGTTTATTCTGAAATATAAGTTTATCCTGCTAACGTATTAAGAACGTAACTGTGCTTGAGTAAAATGGCTCTCACGAGGCAGCTAAAGCTCGTCGTCGGCTAAACGTAATGTTGGGACTGCGATTAGGACATTTGCATGGCGAGAGTTCATAAAAGAAGTATTTCGTTGAAAATGATGCTAAACCTTTGTAAACGATGTCGATTCCAAATAGTTTTTGGGGAGTGTAAGTGGAGTGACATCCTTGGCGAGATATAAATCTGGGTCATTCCGGTTACGTAGACCCAAATGTCGTGAGAACGGTTACAAATGTGTTCCCTTCCGCTGGTTACCCGGCGAGACATAACCCTGGGCTAAATAGACGGGATACTCAAGTGTTAAAAACAAATGGTAATAAGTCATTTTAATTAGTGAATCGGCAGAGAAACAAGCCGATTCCGCGAGCAACACAATTTTTGGCTGCTGGAAAATAAATTGCATAACTTGGCGACCTATACCAGGTAAGGTTACACAAACCTTATTTTGAAGAAACGTTCTTCAAGTAAATATGTGCAAGAAATATGAATCGCAAAAAACCCTGTCAGAACGCTACACTTAGGACAGCTAAGAGAGACCTCATGTTGACGCTTGATACGCAGTTTTCTCATCGGCCGGTTAGGATTATGTAGGTCCGCGAGTATTTCAGGTGAACACCACGTTCCACTTGGTGCTTAATTAGGTTCAAATCATTGGTTAAATATGGGATTTTTTACGAGTTCAAATTGTTGGGAAATACACTTCAAGCATTGAGAGATTGATGACCTTGTTGGGATAGTCTACAACTTCTACGACTACGGGTACGACTGTTTCATCTTTACTAATTACATTTTGAATAATTTCTTGGATATTTCCATTTATTTATTTTAGTATACTTAAGGAATGGAGCTTGTACGACAAACATGCTTTATCTAAGTTTGTAAGTCTATTTTTGTTAGCTGATCTATACTTAAATAAAGTGAATCTAATTTAAACGCTATAGACGGACAAGTTGGCACTGACCCAGTAGTTGAAGCTTACCATGTGGTTGGCTCAGCGTCAAGGAGAATTCATTTAAGGTGGTGTTGATAGAACAGCGGCTTTAATTCGCCTTAGTAAACAGATGTCAAAACTTCCTATGAGTGAGTGCGAAATTTGATATTTCACACACGATCTTCAAAAGTGACACAACTCAAAATTTGGTATTTTTGAAATTATACACCAAACATGTACACAGAGCCGTTCCCACGACAGTCGGGTCTACGTAACCGGAACAACCCAGATTTATATCTGGCCAATGACTGTCACTCCAGCAACACTCCCCAAAAACACTATGGGGAACTTGTATGCTGCTACAACAACAACAACAACAACAACAGAGCCTTTATTTGCCTATCAACAAAAGCTGTAGTAAATTAACTATAAATCAAACTTTATACAGAATTTGGAAAAACTGAAAATTCCTCATCAAAATTTCGAACTTTTTAATTTGAAATTATCTTTAGAAGATGTTTGGGTATACCGTTTTAAAGTCTAGTAAATTTTAATAAATAAAGTGCAAGGTTTAAACGGATAAAAAACACATCGATTTTTAATAGTTTTTACCTTCCTTTTATTAACTCGGAATGTAACTATGTAATATTGATGCGCCTAAAAGAAGCAGCGATTTCTATTCCCCAGTTACATACCTGATGACAGTACGAATGGCAATTATAATAGGGAGGTTTTAGTTTTTTAAACTATAATTTTATTATTATTTTTTTTGCCGACAGTTTTTGTGTTTTTTTTTTTAATATAATTTTTTTTTTTAATTTTGCGCATTTTCTTCCAAAACAAATGCATGTTTGGTCAACAAAATAAATTATTAATTGCATACCCAAAATAAAAAGTTTAAAAGTTTCATGAAAATTTGTTTAATTTTTCTAAATTCTGTATAAAGATTGAAAGTTGTATATACGTATGTATAAAATAAAATAAAATTGATAGCTTAAAAAAAAATCATCACTCACCGTATCTGCAGCCGTTAAGTTGATACCTAAACCTCCAGCACGCGTTGAGAGAAGAAAAACGAAGATGTCTTCACGCGTTTGAAAATCGGCAACCATATCACGACGTGCTGAAATTTTACTCGAACCATCCAAACGCATATAACGATGCTTGCGATGCCACATATACTCCTAATAAAATTAAACAAAAATAAAGCTTTAACACATTAATTAACAGTCAGAAAACGCCAACTAACCTCCAGCAAATCGATCATTTTCGTCATTTGGGAATAGATTAGCACACGATGTCCTTGCGCTTTGAGGCGTGTTAGCAAACTATCCAGCACAGCTAGCTTGCCGGCATCCGAAACGAGTGTTTGCTTGTCGGGCACCGCAATTGAAGACCAACCGTAACGTGGTCGACACAAATCAAGGGCAGTATTAACCAGTTCCATGCCAGTAGGATTTTCACACTGTAAGTGGCGTATCTGCGCCCAAGCAGCGTCACGGCTTTCACAGCTGCAAGTAATTTAAATATTTATTGCGTATATTCGAATATATGATTCATTATGCTACTCACTACATATGTCTTTTAACGGCTTGTACACGTTGACTGAGACCATAGAGGAAGCGCGGCATTTGTAGCGATTCACATTGGTACAGAGTGGGTGTGCGTGGTACATGTTGAAATTCAGGCAGAAGCTTCCCATTGGAGTCTACATCCTCACCATGTTTCGGTGCAGATTTTTGTGACTTGCTTGACACAGGTGTTGTACTCATTTGTGTTGCATCTTCGCTCGTGTCCAAGTCTAATTCAGTTTTTATAGTAATCGAGTCATTGAAACTGGCTTGTTCGATCGCCGATTTTTTCGTTAAGTCAACATGTTTGCTGCGTATGACGCGGTGTTCAATAGTTTCCTGAATGTTGACTGTTTTGTAGTTACCAAAGGCGTAAACAGTGCTCTCCTGAGAAGTCTATGGATATAGCAAAAAATTTGGTAATTCCAGTAGTTTTATGATAAAGCTAGTAATTTAAATTACTCACCACACCAGTAAATACGAAATTACGTAACACACTTTGCTCAAACATAAAGCTGCGCTGCAATGGATTCTCAAGCATCACCTCGAGCAGTTGAAAGCGTGTAGCGTTATAATGCGACCACCATTGGCGGCGGTATGCTAATAGAGCGTATTGCACTATTCTGCGACGATAGTGTAAAATGCTGAAAGATATTCGTAAGCAGTAAATTAAAACTAATTCGTGACTTTTGAAGTAGCTGGCGTAAGCTTACTAAGACACCAAGCCGTTAATAGTAACATCTTCCATATCTCCCGGTGACAGGTCACACAGTCGGGTGAAACTGAAACAGCAATCATCACTGACATTCAAGTCTACATAACGTGCATAGTATTCGTTGGATTTTGATGCTTTGGTGACGCTAGGTTCACTGAAGAGTGATTTCTGCATAGAAGCTGCCTTAAAAATTGAGAATCTGGAAAATACAGGCATGTTAATAAATCGAATAGACAAAAAAAGTGGATTTCTATGCCTCCAGACCTATTGTAAAGCAGATGGCGTTTGCTTGGTATGGCGCGTTGAAGCAAACAATCATTATATACCAGACGTGGCAACACATATTCCTCACAGCGCATGGCAAAAGGGCTTTTAGCGTCACGTCGTTCAAACAATTCTGGATGATTGCATACTTTTCGAAACTGCATCACCAAATTCATGAGATTTGATGTAAAATTCTTATCAAAGTGATGACCATCACCGGAACTTCCCGCCCCGCCACCCGTGAAATGCAATAAATCTTCAATTCGTATCTTCTTTTTCAACGCCATGTAAAGCAATTTTTGTCGAATAGTCAGCGGACAATATACCATAATCTCAATTTTGTCCGACAGCTCATTTTCCACATCCTTTTTGATACGTCTCAACATGAATGGCTTGAGTATCATATGTAGTCGTGATATTTGTTTCTCATCGATACCAGTCTTATTCTCGGCATGCGATTCGATATCCTTCGAGAACCATTCATTGAATTCATCATGCGAGTCGAAGAGTGTCGGCATTATGAAATGCAACAGTGCCCACAATTCTGCCATGCTATTTTGTATTGGCGTGCCACTAAGTAAAAGGCGGTTCCGACAATTGAAGCCCAGTAATAGTTTCCAACGCATCGAAGAGGCGCTCTTAATGGCCTGTGCCTCGTCCAGCACCATATACTGCCACTTGATACGATTGAAGTACTTGTAATCGGACACGATCAGCTGATAGGAGGTAATTACCACATGAAAGCTGGCATCACGGGTATGTAAATCTTTTTGTTCCCAAAATTGACGGAGAATTTTACGCTCATTCGGTGAACCCCAATAGGGTACCACATTGAAATCGGGCACAAAACGCTGCATCTCCTGCTGCCAGTTATGTAACGTAGAAGCAGGTGAAATAATCAGAAATGGTCCCCACACACCATAACGTTCGGCAATGTGGCAAAGAAACGCAATCGACTGTACAGTTTTGCCTAGACCCATTTCGTCTGCTAATATACCGCTTATTCCCTGGTCGTATAGATTAGCCAGCCAAGTAACACCTTGAAGTAGCAAGATTACAGATAATTTACAGTTTTTAATTTTTGTTGAAAGTTTTTTTAAAAACCCACCCTTTAATTGGTACGTTTTTAGTGTACCCTTGAACATTTCCGGCTGCGGTACATCTGCCTTTGCTGGCTTCACAAACGATGGCACTTCTTCATTATCCGTTTCCGATTTAATATCCTCCAATTGAGCGTCTCGCTTCTCTTGCTTTTCTTGCTTGATCCGCGCCACGTTAAATCTTTGGGTCTTATCGCGATCTGCTGAAAATGCAAGTTCTGCATTCTTTTGAGCCAACGATTTAAAATGCTCAGCGTCATAATCGTCATAGGCAGCTAGCCTTGGATTTATCTCTTCATCCAATTGATTCAATATACGCAATTGCTCTTCTTCGGTGCCCTGTCCCAGCTTCTTGGACATGAAATGCGCATATAACTCCGTTTGCGTAATAAGAAAATTTAGTTTACGTTGCTGCCGTTTTGCTTCAATGATCTCAACATCCATTTTGCGCTGCTCTTCCGCTTCACGTTCCATACGTCGGCGCGTATCGCGCTCTACGCGCTCATACCGCTTCCAGTATCCCATCATTTCGCGCGTTAAACGCTTGGCGCGCCACACCGTTTCCTTCATAACCTTCTGCGATATCATCGCTCGTTGTCGCACAACCTTCGAACACATAGTTGCCACGCGCTTACAATTCTGCACCATCTCTTTATGGTTATTTCCCTTGGCGCGTTGGCAGCGTCCAAGCTCCTTCTTAGCCATAAGTTGCCAAACACGTCGGCGACGAGCAGCCATTACTTCGGGTGTACGTTGCTGTTGGCTCTTGCGTCGACGTCCGCGACCGCTATGCGCCAAACCACCAGGTGGCAGCAGTGACAGATTAGCATCTAAGGTACTATCCATCTCATCGGTAATCTCCTCATCGTCGTCATCGTTAACAGCTGACGTGTCCCCAAAAGCGTAATTGTTCAACTCAGAAGGTGGTATCTCCCCAGGTTCAGGTTGCTCCACCTTAGTCTTTCGTGGTTTACGGCCCTTTGGCTCCTTCGCCAACTTTGGTGGTTTTGCAGGCTTCTCCTTCTTAGTGCGGCGTCGACGTTTACGCACGCCCACTATAGATTGTTGGTGTTCGGGAAACATATCGTGATTGGAAAGCATACCAGCACCATAGTAGGCATATTGGGTATTCTGACAGAAATTATGATTTTATAATGATAAAAATTTATTGATTTTAGCCATGATTCAATAATTAAAGGTTTGTTTACTAGTCACATTCGAGTTTTTACACTCCCTTAACTCCCTTACAAAAGTTTGCACGCACATACGCACTCAAACACAGTGCCCTGCTACGGGAGCCAATTTTATCAAGAGGGTGTGAAAAAAAAATGTTTTCTGAACAAAACTTTTATTATTGAATCATGGATTTGAGCCATGCCAACCGTTGTTTTTTTATAGAAGTTTTCTCTATGCTTTTGCTCGAGCATGTGTGTTCTTAACAACTCCTTAATATAATCGTCCTCGTCGCTGATTTCCGTCTCAGTGTCAGTGTCACTGAGTAAAACTTCATACAGCCACTCGCGATCGTTGGTTAGATCATTAAAGTTGAATAAATGCATTTTCACGCTTTGACGCTCTATATATGTACATATATAATACATACATACATATTATGAAAGCTTTGGATCTTATTTCATTAATTTAAGACTGCATTACCTTCTTTAGTACCAAGTAGGCGTGTACGTTTCTTGCGGGCACCGCCTCCTTCATCGTCTGAATTATCCGTAACACCACCAACCTTTGCCTCTTCTTCAGAAGCGTTTGAGTCATCGCCACTGCTCAATGGCTGCGACAATACATGACGAGCATACTCCATGAACGGTCGCATGTTGAGTGCTGCCTCCAATCGCTGTATACGCAGTGGTTCTGCAATACGCGGACGTTCAGATTGCGGGGTAGTGACGCTTGCACTATTCCCCGCAAAAGAGGGCTGGGCTGCGGCCGTTTGAGTTGTCATCTGTGCAATAGCTATTGCCGAGCCGTTCACGGTACCACTGGCAGGTAGCATTTTATCCACTTTACATATGATTGTTTTCTAAAATTTGGTAAAATTCACATGCTATAAAGTAAAAAACCTTAATCTTTATTGAAAATATCCGTACACATACCTGCTATTTTAAAATGTACCCGCTGTGCTTACTCGATGTCCGTTGCGTCGAACCACTTCCGCTATGTTTTTCATACAATTCAAATTCAAAACTCCGATAAAATAATTGTGCAAATGTAAATTCTCGAAATGTGCACACGTAACGCCATGAAATTTCACATGCACAAGCACAAAAAATTTCTTTATCGCCACACAATGCTGTCACAAGTCATATGCGTTTTACATGCCACTCGCTGGGGCTCGATTAATAAGGCAGCAACAAAACAAAAATTGCAAATAAAGCGAACTAAACGAAAATTTAAAGCAGCATACAGCTGATTGGCTAATCGGTTATGCAGGGTTGTATGTGGCCGAACTTTTGCAGAGATGATTGCGGTTACCCGAAATTCATTTTGTATGCAATATGTATTACATATGTATATCTTTTCAACGTAAGATAAAGTGAAAAATTCTGACGCATGACAAATATCGTATAAAGCTTCTCACATAATTTTAGTAAGTAAAAACTCAGCCAATTAAAATCATGCCTTTGTGGCGACCCTGCGCCGTGATTTCTTCTTCTTAACTTAACCAAAACAAACAAAACTGAACGAAAACTGCCACAGGGCTGCATGCCAGATATGGTACTATAAGGATTGTTAAATAAAGGCTCACAATGACCAAATTGTACAATTTACTTTATTGTACAACAAACAATTTACAATACTCGCTAATACCGTACACTTTACAATACTCGTTAAAGCAATTACAACGCTTTAAAAAACTGGTTACCACAATTAAACTTATAGCTTGCTTATTCGCAACTCACTTTACTTGTAGCTTGCTGACGTGTAACTAACTCACTCCGCTGTGTGGTGGCTCTTATATGCCTGCGCTCGCACTCATGGCAACTCTAGAATGTTCTGAAGTTCATCGCTCATTCTCTTTCTTTCGCTGTTCGCAGTGTTCATCCAACTTGACGTTTCTCTCTGTGGAAATTGTTTTGCTGCTTTCGTATAAAATTTTCGCAGACTTTAATTATAATTAAAATAAATTTTAAACTACATTCCGACTAGTTAATAAATAAAATAAGTAAATTATTTATTCGAATAAACCTGTTTGAATTAAGTAAATTATAATATCCTATTTTGAACTTAACCCACTTTAATGACAAATCAGTCGATTTATTTACTTCGCTTAAAAGTATTCCACAAGAACTAGCGAATACGCATGTGAGTGGCAATCATTTCATAGCCCGTGTTGCCAGGCGTTTTCGTTAGCTCTGATCCAATACTTTTCGTGTTGAATCTGTAAAAAAGTCAAGCAGCAAAATTTCTCTCTGGTGTGAGAGTAATTTTTCATGATTTTACCAGACGAAAAAGTTCGGATAAAATCTTGTAACTTCATTCTCTACACAACTCTCCAAAAATCGCTCTTATTTACAGGATTATGGAGTACGGGAACATTTTTTCTGGAGTACTGGATCAGAGCTATTGTGAACTCCCAAAAAAAACTATATTATTACAGCTGCGAACGTTCCCAACAAACATTTAGGTTTGAGGTTTAGGTGAGAACTAAGGTATTTCTCAAATCACCAACGTTGATTTTCAACAGTCCAAACTTACAAACTCCCCAGAACAAAACTCTTACAAATTATGAAAAGATCTCATAAGACTCTTTTAATATACATACTTGGATAACCTCATAATATAAATCTTATAAAAATAATTAAATTAGGTCTCATAGTACTATTTTTATGAGATGATAATGCTACTAGAGTTAGTAAGCCTTTCAAACTCATAATAAGACCTTCCTGAACCGTTTTTATAAAACTTCAACTCTCGAAGAGTTATACTCTTAAAAAAATCCCCATATGAGTAGTAGATTGTTATGTAACTTATAATAAAATTCTTGTAAGATATAAAGCACTTATAAATATACCCTTATGAGACGTAGAATATTATAACACGTCAAATAAAACTGTTATGAGTACAAAAGAATCATTACTCTCATAAAAACTACAACAGAGGTCCGCTTATATCAAGAAAAACATTCTGTCAGTCAATATACCTTGTTTCAGTGTTAATCAATCAAAATGGATAAGTTTAATTGAAAAGGATCCACTAATTTGAGAGGTAAAATTCAGAAGATTTATCTTAAACTAAAAGATTATACGTCCAACAGTGTTACAGCCAATAAAAGAGTTACTGCGAATTTTAAAACAATATTCTAAAAATAGTAGATAATGTACATCAAAAATCTATTCGTCCAGAATATAACCGCTGTAATCCTATTCAGAACGACTCGAACGAAAGTCACGATGCAGAAATTTCTGTTGATAATATAATAGCACCATGGCATGCAGCTTCAAAGCCTCTAAATTTTCCCCTTTTTTGGTGCAAGGCTGGGTATTCCAATTTGCCTCTGGCTTTGAATTTGCATCTCTCAGCAATTTTTGAATTGCGGAGACTTTTTTAGTATTTGGACAATATAGAATTCCCACATTCTCCCAATTGTAAGGCGCAACGGTAAGGCATATTTCACCATGTTCTAAAGTTTGCACGATTTTAGTTGACATCCTTAAAAATTATATAGTTAGTTCACTACAAAACGTCGGAATAACATCTATAAAAAAAAATATTCATTATCGATAAAATTTCAATCCTCATAAAATCTTAGCTTATATTTTCGAAAATTGACTTCTAAAGGTCTATAATACTTATATGAAATCCTAATAATAATAATAGATTGGCGCTTACACATATGTTAGTGTTTGGCCGAGCTTCTCCTCCGATTTGTGGCGTGCGCCTTGATGTTGTCACACAAAGAGGAGGGACCTACAGTTTAACGCCGACTCCGAACGGCGATTGTATTTTTATGAGAAGCTGTTTTTCATGGCAGAAATACATTCGGAGGGTTGCCATTGCCTGCCGAGGGACGACCGCTGTTAAGAAAAAACCTTTTTTCTATTTTTTTTTTTTCGATGTTGCTTTTACCAGGGGTTGAACCCAGCGCAGCGGAGTGGAAGCGCGCACTGCTTACCACTACACCACAGCGGCCGACTATATGAAATCCTGGTCTACTTTAATTTCTGCCATCGAAAATGTAACACCGATTTGCTATAAATTAATTCTTATGAAATTATCTTCATTCAACAAAAAATAACACCACCAAAGTTATGTTAATTATTATGATACCATTATGAGAGTGCATATATACTCTCATAAAAATTCAAATAGTTTTTTTTATGAAACTTACGTATCTCTTACAAAGAGAGCTATCATTTTTTTATAAGACAAAAATAACTCTCATAAGTGCGCCATTTAATTCTGACAACGTATTCATAAAGCACCCGTAGTACTCTACCAGAGTGAAATTATGGCTGCGTTTCTTTATACATTCCGGATAATCCCATTTCATAGCCGGAATAAACAGAATGCGTTTGAAATATACGTTAACATATCATCAGGAACGTTCTAAAGAATAAGTAAACAAAAAAGTTTATTCCAAACGTTCAGAATGAATAAAGAAATGCAGCCTATAAGGGTGCTACTCTCCTAAAACAATCCTCTCATAAGATGCTTGTAGAGTCTGGGAAGACGAAAATTGTTAGTTGGGATAACTCAAGTGGAAGACCATAGCGTACTGATTTTTCTTTGTACGAAAATAGGACTGTTTCTCAACTTGAGAATAAGCTAGTTCTCAACTTGAACTCCATGATCGTCCCGATGCTGCTCACTTGCTGTTCCAAACGCAGCAAACTTTTCTAAGTAGACCACCTTCCCCTTGTTTTTTGGTCCCCAACGGTCTGGATTCGTCGTTCAGTCGTTTAAAAACCTTATTAGACCTGGCTTATCTTTTGACGTGTACCGCTTTACATGGTCGCACTTCTGCCGGTCTGGTGACCTGAATATGCCTTCTTCTTCTGAGTTATACCACTTTGTCTTTCCATAGGACCTACACTTCGACCCTCCAGCTGCAGACCACTTGACACATTTTGATATCCACTCCTGGATCATCTCACGAAAACCAACACAATAAAATCTATCCTTAATCCTCTCAGTGGTTCTCTTCGTTTCTTCGTACTCGCCATCGAGACTTCTATGGAACTCGCTGAAGACATCTGGAACTCGTCCTTTTGGAACAACCACTAGATGCATCTGCGCTTTCCCATATCCGATGCAAGCAAGCAGATATCATCCTCTCATGGGGCCATTGTATCAAGTATTCCTTTGAATCTGGCATTTCGCTAATATTTCCTCACTGTTTGAACGTTTCCTCCAGTATCCACAGTCAGCACTCACTCTTGCCTATTTACACATGCACAAAAAATGAGGTTGCACGTTTTCCAGCCAACTTGTCAGATGGAATTTATTGGGCGTTTAACTGCGGGAACTAGCACGCGCCCCTTCCTGCTGGCTCATTTTAGTTTAAAGACTGACTTTAGTTTGGTTCATTTTCATCAGTTATCCATTTGGGTCCTGTTGAATTGTTGAACATGCTAAAACTTTTGCTGCAATCATGAGCGAAGTGGCCTTGCTATCCACATTTGCCAGAGCCATTATTTATCTTCGTCAACAGTTGGATTATTTTCTTTAATATTTCATTTATCATATTCCGGGTTTCTTCCTGCTAATCGTTGGGCTTTGTAGGCTGGTCTGTTTAAGAGCGCTTTGGATTCGCATTGGTTCCGCTAATGAGTCACTGATTTTCGAGGTGCTCACCAGATGTATCTCCAATAGCTAAATGAGCCAATTTTTCCATCTCGGAGGCGAATTTCTATAAAGTCTCGTTGAATTTTTGGAAGTGGATCTCCAGTCCCATCTGGTAAATGTGCTGTCAGTGCGCGCTACCGCAACATCTTTGCACGGCATCTCATAATCGGGGTCTGTTTCGAGAATCACAGCTGCGGGTTCTTTCAAAGCAACGAATCGCGCAGCAGATTTATACTCCGTGCTCCACTTGTTTGGTGTAGCGGTTTTTTCGATATTGATCTTAAAGACTTGGAAAAGAATTGTGACATCAAAGCATAAAGTTTTAATCTGGGGAGTGCCCGTCGAAGTTGCTGGACGTTTCAACTCCAAACCGGGAAGACGACCTCCAGCCAAATTTTCCTGCTCTTGTGTAATCTTTGCTTCTTGCAATTGCAGCATCTGCGATACCTATGTCTTCTGTGCTTATAGCTGTGACGAAATCTACCATCTCAGTGGATATCTGAGAAGAAATCTGTGACATTGCAGCCATTAACATGCTGGCCTGGTCCTTGTCTTCAACCTTCGTAGATGCCTGCTCTTTGTCCATCGATGAACAAGCAGCCTCTTCCTTGTCTGCATCCTTCGTGGATTTATCCACCGCTTTACGATCATGATTGTAACTCCGCTTTGTTTTCGGTCGTGAATAACCCTCACTCTACCAATTCCCTTTTGAGAGGTAGTATCGTCAAATCGTAGAACTTCGACATTTCCAAACTTTGGGATTTATGTAATTATTTGACTTCTGGCACCAATTGTGCGAGATCTTATGAAAATTGACTTTTTTCTGCTAAAGAGATAGAATATATACGATTAAGAATATCCACGATTTAGCTTTCCCTGATTCCATATATACACATTTGATGTTGCCTTTTTTGCCCTTTTTAAGATATATATATATATTTTTTTTTTTAGTAAGCGATTATAGCGAGGAAAAAGCCCTTATTCCCGATAATATGAAAGTTTCAAACATTCCACATTTAAATTGGGCGCTACTTGTATTAACTCAAGGTCCCGCCAGATAGAAAATCTTTTCTATGTCACAGGGATGCTTCGGACTAACAAAACGTACAGAACATGGCGAGACGGCACAATGAAAATGGCTCAATTTGATTGGGCAAAATTCAGCTGGTTTGAATGCGTTCCATACATTTTTGTTGTTCTTGTTGTTTTTCCGCATATGCGTGCGTCAAAAGTTGAGAGTTGGGCGAATTTGGTACGCACAATGGCAACGAAAATCATTCAGCCCTATTCTGCATTTCGACTCGAATCGAATTTTTCTCCGTTTGGCAACTTTGGTATTCTGCGTTCCGTTTCATTTCGATCAATCTTCGAAATTTACGATTGTACCTATTCTACATTTCAATCGTAGTTACGTTTTACTAAGTGGCAAATTTGTTGACGGAGAACGTTTCGCTTGTTATTTTCGTGGGTTTAAATATTAAAATTTTATTTAAAAAAATTAAGTGAAATATACTGTGCATGACTGTAAAAGTCATCATAAATAAATTTTCTCGGTTTCTGTGTTTTCGCGAGCGGTAATACGGGCAATACGAAAAATTGGCTCAAATAATGGCAACCAAAAGGGATATTGCGCGACGTTTTCAAAGTGGAAGTTCAGGCGTTTTTGTTTACATTATCTATAAATAAGACTGTGAAATGCACTGAATACAATTTATTCTTTTTATATAAAATTAATAGATGTATGCACATAGATACATACATACATAAAATGTGAAGTTACATAAAACAAGATGCTTTTATTATTGCACTCGTTTTTACTAACTTTTTAAAAAGAGGTGCGTATGTTGTCTCGAATTCGATTTGCTATGGAAAGATAAGCTTTCTTCTTCCCCTCCTCCTGACGGCTTTCAAAACGGGATTCATTTGCGTTCAAATCTTCCACTCTGTAGTAAATGCAAATGTTGTGGAGTGCTCAAACAACGTTTATAATTTCACTGCCTTTGAGCGATGAGTAATACAGTTCAAGATGAATTTCTTATGACTCTTCACTAATCTGAAAAAGATCAAACATGTCCCTAAATCTCCGCCTTTCAACTTCCGCATCAGCAATCTGAGACTCGTTCTCCTCTTTAAGCAAATACGCCGCGGCTAAGGATTTCATTCTTATAATTATGTTTCCACCAAATTAAGAGCAAACGAAATTTTATTTTTAATTACAGTGATGCTAGATATATTTAGCTTCATATGCTGCTACAGTTTGGTGGCAAATATTTCTTTGTTTTGTTTCGATTTCACACATTCCTAGGCAAACAACTGATTTCGAAAGATGTTTTCTCTCATCCTCTTCTTCTTTCGTTACGATCGTAACGCAGAATACCTAAGTTCGATTCCAGCGGAGCGGAATACGGGAACGTAATCGAAATGCAGAATAGGGCTGATTACAAATGTACAACAAACACAGCATTTGGAAATTTAAAAGTACAGCGGCGAAAATTTCAGTAGTTCTGGCAACACCGCCTGGAGTGAATACGCCTTGGTTTTGACTCAGCAGTTTTTGTCTTCTCAGTTTTTGTTGTGCAGAGGTGGCAATCATTAAATTTATCCCATCTCTAGATGCATATCTGTTTTATTGTTTACTTCGTTGTATTCATAAGCACATTTTCCTATTGTGGCGAATACTGCGGCAACACAAAGCGAACAACGAGAAATAGGCAGAATGTTCGAAGAATGACGTAGAATGTTCCACAAAGAGAAACGTCAAGTTGGATGAACACTGCGAACAGTGAGAGAAAGAGAATGAGCGATAAACTTCAGAATGTTCTAGAGTTGCCATAAGTGTGAGCGCAGGTATATAAGAGCCACGACACAGCGGAGTTGGGACAGTTACAAGTCAGCAAGCTACAAGTAAAGTGAGCGGAGAATCGAGTTACGAAGTTGCAAGTCAGCAAGCTACAAGTAAAGTGAGCAGAGA